GTTATTGTTCGTGTAACAAGGATCAGAGCAGCCAATAATTGAGCAGACCCATACATGCTGATGGGTTTTGGTTTTTAGAAAGATTCAATCCATTTCAGGGAATGTATTAGTCTTTGCAGAAACGAGGTGAGGCTGAGTGGACACAGGTAGACAGGAGATCGTTGGCAAGAAGGAACGGGAGGTGAGAGAGCCCTTTCTGTAAACAGTATGTTCAAGCACAAAACAAACAAACAAAAGCTATCATAACATCACAGGGAATTCAGACACTGGAAATGAGATCCCAAGTATAATTTTTACCAACATTTGCCACAGTGTAAAGAATATAGACTCTGCTGAAGTTACATCTGATGGAGCCAGCTTTGTTAATGAATTTAGAGTGAGTAATACAGACTTAAATGTGGGGATTGCTGAAAACCACTTTAGGCTTGAGTCATCCATACATTCAGTAATGTGATGGATGTCAAGGTTAATTTGCAACAAATCCATTAGTAGTCATGGCGCTGATGTCTTAATGCTTGCCATATCGAAATGTGCATAAATAATAAAGGCGACACGTTCCTCCATGTTCCTCTCCGTATTGATAAAAAGCTTGGAGCTGTGATTGAGATGTACTGCTGCTGCACATTGAATTCACTTATATAATAAAGTGAAACCTGTTTTAGTAAATGTAAAATTAAAAAAAAAATGAAGCTAAGTTGCAGTTTATTTTGTGTAGACTTTCTCCTGTATTCAGTGATCGTAATGAAATTTTTGCATCTCGCTGCCACGATCAGTTGTACCATTAGATGTCTTATGGTGATGAACTCATAGTCTTCTTCTCATGAAAGCTTCCATTTGATGTAATTTAATATCCCTTCCATTGTCAGCTATCAGTAAATGTAAATAATAATATAATTGGTTCACGTAAAAAAAAAAAAGTGCTAATCCAAGGAATAAAATACTGGATAGACTCATCAAATCTGAGATGTAAGAAAAGTCATTTTTTTGAAAGAGGCATTTGATTTGAAGACAACTGTGAAATGCATCAAACTTTCCTAAAGGTTCTTATATTAAAATAAAACAATGTTGGAGCCGTGGTGGTGTACTTGTTAAGTGTTCGGCTGCTAACCAGACAGTCCGAAGTTCAAATCCACCAGCCGCTCCTTGGAAACCCTATGGGGCAGTTCTACTCTGTCCTACAGGGTTGCTATGAGTCAAAATCGACTCGACGGCAATGGGTTTATGGTAATGCTACTCAGTCATTTTATATTTTTACAACAGACACACACACATACTCACAATTTTGGACTGTTTCTTACATTTCGAAAGGTCCTTTTATTAAAACAAACCAAAAATGTTGCAATGTTACTCAGTTAATTTTATATTTTTGCAACCCACACATACACATACAGACACCACTTATTCTCTTTAAAATTTATTGAATATTTGCCATGTGCCAGGAACTGGTCTAAGATGTTATTGTGCAATATCTTATTTAATCCCAACAGAAGCTCTATGAGGTAGATAGCATTGCTCTCCCCATTTTTTTCCAGATACAAATCTCAAGACTTAGAGAAAATTAAATAACTTGGTCAAGGTCATGTAGCTAGTAAATGATACGAGTGGAATTTGAATCCAGGTCTGTTTCAGTCCAGAGCTTACATTCTTAACTTGTAAGCTATTCTGCTGCAGTAAATACACCATATCCTTGGCTCAGAAAGATGCATATTAAAGGAAATGCATTTGTAAACTTAAATCATCTCACCCACTCTATTTGATTATGGGAATGTCCTCATATTTTTAAGGCTACACATTTTTCAAAATGGCTTCATTTGCTCATTTTCTAGCTTGATGGAAAGCGAGTGTTAGGAACATAGGAGATTTTGTAGAGTTTGACCAAACCAATGTTTATAAAAGAAGGCCATGATGCATATAGAGGTAGGGAGAAGAGAGCTGTGTGGGAGCTGGCTACCTAATTCTTGAACTTCGTATGAAATGAGCTGATGAGAATGTACATCACAGTGCACTACTGTGCATAGAGAAGAAAAGGAAGGGACTTCTCTCCAGTTACATCTGGAAAGAATTAAAGTAGAAAAAATTGCAACGTTTGACATACAGTCATGCAATCATTTTTGCTTTGTCTTGGTGAAACCTAAAGACCTGGAAAGTCTGTACAGGCAGGACAGATTGGACAATGGCGTGGTAGTTGCGAAGTCTGAACACTTTTTGGAAAAAGTTGGAATATGAGATGAAACCAAATATTGAATCACGATATTTGTATTGTGACATTTACCTTCCTGAAAATATGTGTAAACCTTTAAATTATTATCCTCAATTTCTGCAGCTGAGCAACTAGAAATTTTTATAGTTCTGTAAGTTTGGGAAGTATACCATAAACCAAATGTTAATCTACATATATTGAATGTCCTGTCATTTCACATTCACATGTTATTTTTATTTTTAAAAAGTATGTGAGGTGAAAGGAGAATATGTGATCATGGGGTGCAAATGTCACTTTATGGATATGAGACATTCAAATATGATAAAAGTTGGCTTTGATAAATTCATACTGACATATCCAATTAACTTTTTCTTGACTGTCTTGTTATGATGACAGAAACATCTCTGTAATAATAGTAAAAAAAATGCTTAAGTAGGAGTCGAGATACTAGGTTTAGTACCAGCTCTGGCACTTAACTAAGTTTATAGTTAGACAACAAGTCAATCCTTATGACTTAGTTTCCATGAATATGACAGGGAAGGAGTAATGCTTGCCCTACCTTCCATGCAGAACTAGAGAAGAAATGAAAGAATAATTGTGAAAGTAAATTTTAATGTTAAAAATCACTACAGAATGTAAGCTATTGTTACTTTGCAACACTACTCTCCTTGGCCGATTCTGGAAAACTTACTCATCTGCATTTTTAGATATGTTTTATATTGTTCATAGCATCTCTACTTTTTCTCATTTCACATGAATAGTCATTAGAGAGTGTGCTAATTAAAGGGAGGAAAATAAAATTAATTATAAAGTATTAGCACTCATTACATCCCTCCTATTAAAGAAACCTTCACTTTTATATGGCCTTGTCCTATTTTTATGGACATAGGCTTTACTTAAACATTGAATACTTAATCACCTGAAAACAATACCAATCAGAAAAATATTTATCAAATAGTACTTTCTTATTAATATCCTATTGAACAAACTTCTGATGTTATAGATCATAAATGGTTATGGAAAGCTCTGGCCTTTCTGATGTATGTCTGGATATTCTGGAATTTTTGTGTGTGTGTATATGTATGTGAGCACTGGCTGGTGCCTGTGAAATATAACTTACCTTTCTTCACAGGGGAGAGAGAATTATTTGCATGCATTGGTATCCAAAAGAATTAATAGAGCTCAGCCTCTAGGTCATTGCATTTTTACAAGATTATAGTTTATAGCATTTACTTTTAATACTATGGCATAGCGGTTAAGTGCTACAGCTGCTAACCAAGAAGGCTGGCAGTTTGAATCCACCAGCTGCTGCTTGGAAACCCTGTGGGGCAGTTCTACTCTGTCCTATAGGGTCGCTATTAGGTGGAATCGACTCAATGGTAATAGGTTTGGTTTTTGATACGGTTCTTGGGATAGATCGACATAGCGAGGACTTTTACCATCAGACTCAATAGCCACATTGTAGAGGTCTTTGACATTTCTCAAAGGCTTCTGGAAATGTCTGGGAGTGAAAGCAAAAAATGGTTGGCCACAAAATACAAAAAGACCACAAAGTTGATATTATCAGCTGTTTAAATGTACACGCACGTGACAGTGAGTCAGCTTTGAGTAACTGGTGAACTTGCTAGTCACAAAGATTTAATGTCTAGGTAGGTATCTTGAGGACATACTGCTGTACACACGACTTCTGCACATAAGGCTTACTCTTGGTAGAAGCTACCTGTCCATAAACACAAGGTGTTTGGTGGCCTAACGTTCAGTGTTCTCTCTCATTGCTTTCCTTACCACATTCAGCATATAGTATGCACACAATTAGTATTTGTTGGCATCCTTTGTTATTAGATGGCTATGCTCTCCTCTGTAAAGTCTATTCTACAGTTTCTGGGAAAACTAAATATTTTTCTGGAGCCCTTTAGTGTGGAGGAAGCTCTCTTCTCCCTTATATATACCTTTTCATGCCCCTTCTAAATACTCTGACTCAAACAATACATCATAGTGCAGCCAATGACATAGATGCCATTGGTGCAATGAAGTAATTGTATATAAATTCTCAATAAATTTGTTTGGAACAAAACTCTTTTTAAATTAAGATGGATAATTTACTGATATCACCACCATAAAGTAAAATTAGAACACTCACTGAATGAGGCCGTGCCATTATTCTTAGTCCTGTAAGACTAGTGTTTGCTTTAGGAAAAAAAATGGGTATTTTTATGATGCCGGATAGTTTGACAGCTACTAGATGAGGCTTGTTAAATAAGACTTGACTTCTGTAGATGTGATCTATTATCTGTATTTTCTTGACATGACTACTGGGGCTTATGGCTGTTCATCCGTTAGTTATCATCTGTCACATGTGAATAGACCCTTTCCCCATAAAAGTTAATTCATAGCATATTTGTTGCGATTTGCTCTGCTGTGCTGTATGACCCTGTCACATCTGCATGCAGCTCTTGTTTCAAAAACAAGTTGATATATGTTTCTGCTGCTTTTGGAAGCTTCCAAAGTCAGTGTTCCTACTGAAGTATATCTTTAAAAGTGTCAGGAATAAATAAAACCCCATTACATTCCATGCTTGTCCAACTCCATGGAAAAAGCAGTAGTAATATCCCATTTGTTCTGAAACACCTGCTGGTAGATTTAATGAATGTATGAAAAACTGAGCTGCCTCTCTGTTTCTTTTGAACCAACTCTGTTCTCTTTCTTGACCTTATTTGATTGAAACCTATTATTTGCTTTGCCATAATTTTGTGGTGACTTGATGTATTTAGAGTAATTGGTTTTGATTTTTGTTTTCCAGCTGGGACAACGTATATCTTTAGCAAAGGCGGTGGACAGATCACGTATAAGTGGCCTCCTAATGACCGACCAAGTACACGGGCAGACAGACTGGCCATCGGGTTTAGCACTGTTCAGAAAGAAGCTATACTGGTGCGAGTGGACAGTTCTTCAGGCCTGGGTGACTACCTAGAGCTTCATATAGTAAGTACTTTTAAATAAGATTCAGTGTTTACTTTTTACTATTAGCTTTTTGCAAATCACTTATATATAATCTTATCTCTTGGAAGTTTCCTTCCCTCAGTAACCAGTGCTTTGGTATAGAAAGCATGGATGTAGTCTAGAGATAATAAAGCTTTATACCTTTTACATCTATTAGTATTGTTAAGCATGTTCTTTACAATAGAAACTTTTTTTTTTTTTTTAAATTTGAATTCCTCTGAATTCTGTGTTCAACAGAAGGGTTTTTTTTTTTTTTTTTAAATGTGTGTTTGTGTGGTTTTATTGTCTTTAAGCAGACTTGCCAAATTAATAAAATATGTTATTGCCCAGTGGATACTATTCCATCTGGCTAGAAGTAGAGGTTGTAATACTGGTAACATCAAATAATCTGGAGTGAGTTTCCCTACATCTTTTCTTACCAAGAAAAAAAAAAAGTATCTAAAGTAACATGAAGTAGAAAATTTGCAGATATTTCGTGATTTGAAGAAAAATGGCAGAAGACTGTTTCTATGCCACCTTGCACTCACTGGGATACATAAAGTATCAGGAAAAATCATTGTTGTCTGGTCATTTTCGGCCTAGGACTGTTCTTTTTCCTGTAGTTCTAAGCCTCCCACAAGAATTTAGCCAGCACATAGTAGAAGGTCAACAATAGTTCATGAATAAAAAGCTTTTTTTTTCTTCTAAGGTTGCCATAACTAACTTTATAGCTTGGAGACTTTTCCCTCTGTCTCTGTGTGCAAAGAAATACTAATGAGTATAGTTGCAACTCTTAATGTCCTAATTTCATTTTAAAGAGATACAAATACTTTATTGATATATACCAATAACAAATATGGGAATGTGTCACAGCTTCAAAAAGTCTAAATCCTTGTGGTTCTTGGTCTAAAGTCTTTATCTTCTGGAAGGTTCCGGAAGTATATAAGTCTCAAGAGACATATACTTTTTACCCTTGGGATATAAGGAGTCTCCCTTATATGATCATTTAAATTTGTCTTGTTTTATTTTTGTTTATCCCTATAAATTCTCTTTCCCAGCACCCATGCCTCAAAGCATATGTGGTTAGCTCATCATGTTCTTACTTCGTAGAAACTGGCCTTTATGCACTAGTCCTAACGCGATTAGGAAACGCCAAACAAAAAAATACATTAACACAGACTTTTACAGGGGTTACTTCTCATTTATTTTCTTAATCTGTTTTGCATCAGACGTCTAGAATTTCCAATAAGCTGAGGAGAGATTTGAACTGACCACAAGGACTGAATTTCATTGCTAATCTTGGGGGTTGGGGAGGGAAGCCTCAGCACAACCATTATTGAACCATTGTAAATTTTCAGTTCAAAATGCAGCTGTCAAAATGGGAACCCTGGGAAAGTAATTTCAGCAGCCTTTCAGCAAATATCCAACAATTGAAATTGAAAGCATCTGGATTTTTCATGGCATCATAAATAAATGATCAGTTGAGATAAACTTAACTAGTGCAGTAAGGAATCTTGCTGTTTAGAGTAATCTCAACTTTCTAAATATATTTGCTCAGTTCTGATTTAAGAACCTTGCCAACTTCAAAAAATAAATAAAAAAGAAAACAAGAGCTTTTTTCCCTTTGCAAGAAATTACTTATTGATCGGTAGCCAATTACACTTTTACCCCGAGAAAAGTTTTTGCGATGATCACTCTCAGATCATAAGGGGCTATGTTACTGAATTACTCAAAACACTGTTGTTTGTTTTATGGTCAAAGGGTTTTCGTCTACAAAGTCTGACAAATGTGGGCCTAGGGTCCTTTCACAAGAATGGCATTGGTTTTTTAGGGGTTCATATCAGTTCAGTACCTTCCACAGCTCCATTCCTTGCTATGGCTTCTTGGTAGCTGTCCTGTAAGGGCCCCCTTCTTTCTGAATCTGCTTCCTTGGACTGGCCTGGCCCTTCACTTTGGATTCAGTGCTTGTCTGTACGCACTCTCCCTCTTGGAATTGATATCCTCAAACTCTTCCTTGCTGTTAGAGCCTGTCCTTGAATGGGAAATAGACATGGGTCCCATTGGGCTTCCCACTACCATTATTGTTGTTCGGCCCTACCCACCTGTATCAACGACTAGGACCCAGTCTTAATCCAAATCTAGCCCAATAAAACTATCTCCTTCTCCTTTCTCCCATTGTCTGTAAGAACTGTCCAGCCAGTAGTGACCTCAGTAAGTTGTTTATATGGAAACCAGTAACTTTTCTTTCATGTACTCAACACATAATAAAAATTAGCAGAAGGCCTGTGGTTTTTTTCTTCTTAATACTGAAGTTTGCTTCTAACTCATTCCTCTAACAAAAGAAAATGAGAATGTTAGTGGAAGTATGTAGAGACCAACGCGACAGAGGCAGAAGTGTTCTTAATATTAATACCTAGGTTGGCAGAACATTCAAAGGCTATTTTATCAAACTAGGTAGTTTTGAGTCAACCTTGGTTTTTCAAAATCAATTCTTCTGCCTCTTCCAGGATTAGAAATTTAAAACAAAAAAAGATTTATAAAATTGTGGATAATTACTGTTGTTTGATTTTGATTTAAGAACATAACTGACTTAAAAAATTAATCTGATTGACAAAATAGATTATGTGCTTTATCTATAAAAATTACAAATTTTGGTTACACATTAAATTAAATGGAACATTTCTGTAAACCTTCAAGGTCAGCAGCGTATAAACTGTAACAATCTTATTTAAAAATCATATTTCCATTCTTAACTGATAGAGTGAACCAATAAACCGGAAAATTGATTGCATCCATTAAAAGGTACTTCAGTCTTGCTGAAATGTATAATGCCATTTCAATCATATAACCTAAAAAATCTGATTGGCATATAATTTAAATGAAGATTTAAATATTTGACTTGGTTTATACTCATTTTTTTCAGAATGATCACATTCAGTTTATCTAAAATATATCTAAATTTTGATTAACTGAGCTCTTAAAATATAACAACTTGTTATAAAATGGCTTTGATTCAGGTGGCCTACTTCTGATAAATGAAGTTTTTTGGTTGTATTAGTATTAATGCTACCACTGTTAACCTCAAAGCCATATGATATCACTACTGAAATTGCAAGATTTTAAGGTGGTGAAGGGAATATACAGACATGAAGTGAGGGGCAATTACTTAGTCTATTGCCTAGAATACAGTTGCTCAGTAAGTGTTTTCTGAATGAGTAAATGATCCAATGAATTATATATTGACTATATGGTGGCTTAGGTTAAGTCTCAACTCTTAACTTTTAAATCATTTACGTTAAGTGAAAGATGTAGCTTGGTTTCTAATATAATCATCTAACTTTTTCCTTCCAATATACCACTTGCTATACAGCAACTATATTATCGAAAAGGTGCAGTATATATTTATTGAGGTTATTTTCAGAAATAGTCAATTAAGAATTGATTATGAAAGTTGATTGTTTAAAGAAAGTCTATGGTGAGAAATTTTGTTGAATGAATGATTCTCCTTAATAATTACCTGATTCAGTAGCTCACTTTCATCTTGAATTGTTCTCTAGTCACTTATATCTTTCTATTATTTCCAAATAGAGATAAACTTTCTGATGGCAGAGAATATGATTTATAATAACTACGATGATTAACAATTAAAAGACTATAGTATAGAATTCTGAGTTTTCATTGTTTTTTTTAGTACTTGCTAGAAGCCTGCCTATCCAGAAATATTTATTGAACTCCTAATATAGTCCAGGCCTATGGTAGGCTCTGTAGATAAAAAATAAATGAACTTGCCACTTAGTAAGTGCATCAATGAATATTTCTTGGATGAATAAATGAACAAGCCATCTGATATACTGGCCACCAGATAACTTAGATTATTTATAGTAAGCATACTTTGTCTCAAAGTGTTGTGCCAAACCATTCTGGTATTTATCCATAAATCTCTCTCCTTTTAAAATTGTGGTAAATATATGTGTAATGAAGTATCTGCCATCTCAACATTCTTCACATTTACAATTCATTGACATTCTGCATGTTTATCATGTTCAACATCACCATCATCTGTCCCCAAATTTTCTCATCAACCTCCCTTTTGCCGCTCTAACTTTCTTCATCTTCTTAATCACAGAGTATTTGTACAAACAATGGACAAATGATCAGTTTTTAAGAGAAAGAATATTAAAAAGTGACTTGTAAAAATTGTAACGTGACGTTATTGCTGTTAGTTGCCATTGAGTTAGTTCCAACCCATGGCGACCTTATGTAAAACAGAACAAAACGTTGTCCTCACCCCTGTTGGTATGTTTGAGCCCACTGTCGCAGCTCTTGTGTCAATCCATTTCACGTATTAGTGAATCTGAGGATTATTTAGTCAGCATTAAATGAAATAATCTTTAGAAGCATTCAGCAAAAGATTCAGCTCAACTTTTTTTGGCAACTTGACAAGATTGTTCTAGAAATTTGATGAATATGGTTACTTTTAGAGGAACAGTCTGTAATTTACCAGGCTAGTGATGTTAACTGGAGATTACTTAACCCTTCTCTGATTTATAGAAAGCCTCTGCAAATGTGGGCTCATTCTCTACCGTAAATATTAGTGTGTGCATTGGTTCTGACCAGAGAAGTACAATGGAGGGTGAAGACGAGGAGGAGTGAACAGTGTTCCTTGAAATGCTTTCATCTTGGAAGCATTAAAGAGGATTGCAAATTTGATTAGTGAATGGTACATATTTGCCTTGAGTGTTTCTTCTTTGTACTTTGCTAGGCTGGAAGCCTTATTTTTGAAGCCAATCTCTTAATTGATTTTTATTTGGAAATACACCTTTTAATCGGCAGTTTCAGGATAGACTAGAAGCATAGTGTATTTATAGTAAACATTACATGTCCCAAAATAACTTCTCAATATTGGTGACATGTCAACGCCTTCTCATCTTTCTCTCCCTCTCTCCACTTTACACTACTTATCTTACTGCTCTATTGAGATTCAATTTGGAAACACCTTCTGA